ATTACCACTACATCCGTTTATCTCAAGACACGCGACGTTTGTACAAAGACTTATAATATTTTGTAGATTTTTTTTTTATACTTGTATACAATTTTTAAGCATAATTCGAAGAAGATAGACTGTCAAAATATTGCTGCACATTGTCACACACTGTTTTTTCTTTACTTTTTCTTTTCTTAAATTTCTTCTCTCAGTGATCAGCAGTGTGAATAAGGCTAGTACGCTCAAGCACTCGGCCACGATGACTCGTGCTAGCTCCCAAGGGTTCCGTCTATTCAATTTCACTCACAAGGCTTGGGTGTGGTCTTCAAGCCCACTGGGATCGCCTCCTCCAGACCGATAATATTAAGAAGTGAACTTCCTGACAAATCGACTCTGGTGAGATTCGAACCCGGCTCTCATGGTCAGAAAGCTAACTTTCTAACCACTTGGTCATGTTCCAATAATAATAATAATTATTATTATTATTTACATTATTTACATTGTTCGGACTGTTGTTCTCATCTTTATTGCCATACTCTCGACGTTTCGGCTGTTGTACGCTCCGGCCTTCTTCAGGTTCTGTTTATAATTCTGAGATGAGGTATTGTAATTATTTACATTGTTCGAACCTTTGTCCTCATCTTTATTGCCATATTCACAACGTTTCGGTCGTTGTACGCTCCGGCCTTCTTCAGATTCTGTGTATATTTCTGAGATTAGGTATTGTAATTATTTACATTTTTCAGATTTTTGTCCTCATTTTTCTTGCCATATTCACGACGTTTCGGCTGTTGTACGTCCGGGCTTCCTCAGGTTCTATCTTAATTTCTGTGATGAGGTATTGCAATTATTTACATTGTTCGGACTCTTGTCCAAAATTTTATCGCCATATTAACAACTTTTCGGTTGTTGCACGCTCTGGCCTTATTCGGGTTCTGTCTGTATTTCTGAGATGAGATATTGTAATTATTTACATTATTTATATTGTTCGGACTGTTGTCCTCAACTTCACTGGCATAATAACGACGTTTCGGTCGTTGTATACTGCGGCCCTCTTCAGGTGATTGAAGTTAAAGGGAGACTCCCGGAAGTGGCACGACACATGGAACTAGAACAATCTATCCTGATAGATTAAATTAAATGGTTTAGTTCGAAATTTTAATCACCTGAAGAAGGCTGGGGCGTACAACGACCGAAACGTTGTGAATATAGCAATGAAGATGAGGACAACAGTTCGAACAATGTAAATAATTTTTAAAAAATATTTTGCTTCATTGCATCTCACTAATAAATCTTTCCAACTAGGGCGTCAGATTTTAAGGCACGGCACTAGTATATATATATATATATATATATATATATATATATATATATATATATATATATATATATATATATATATATATATATATATATATATATATATTCTCCTGAAAGATTTATATCGGTTGAGCTCGGCCACTGTGTGTTTATTTAAAAATAAATACGCTTAAAATTCACTTTCTTCCCTGCCAACGGCTTAGGGGTAAAATCTCCGACTGATATCAATTCAGACGGGTTTCGATCCTAGCTAGAGGCAACCGGACGTCTAGCCACACTGATGAGCTGTAATACAGCGAAACAGTCTGTCTGTGGATGACAATATATGTATATAGCTGAAGAATGCACGTCGTTTGAATTTCTCCCTAGAATTTATTATATGTAATTTATTGTTTTTTGTTCTTTTTATATATATATATATATAATAAAAAGGCTTAAACACTAATATTCCATGGTCATAATTTATTCCATTGGAATCGTAAATACGATCAATTCATCAGACCTACAAATTCAAAAAAGAAAAAAAAAAATTTTTGAATTTGTAGGTCTGATGAATTGATCGTATTTACGATTCCAATGGAATAAATTATGACCATGGAATATGAGTGTTTAAGCCTTTTATTATATCCTTACTTTGTCCTAGACATTGAGTTCTACCTGGATTCTTCCTATTGAATTTTTTTTTTCTAAAATATACATATATGGGTATTTATATTTATATAATTTGTATATGTATGTATATTTTCCACTAATATATATATATATATATATATATATATATATATATATATATATATAATAAAATAAATTCTAGGGCGATATACGAACGACTTGCATTCTTCAGCTAAGTTTCCTATTCTCATTGTTTGTTTTTTTTTAACAGTGCGGTCCACTCTTAATAAGTCTCAAATTGACGTAACCAAGTAATGAAATTTGTTCAAGCGCTTACCATGAAAGTAACGAGAGAGTAGTGTTAGGCTGGCTACATCCCGTCTGTGAGAGAGGGGTCTGCAGGTTGGAAAATAATTTATCAACCACAAGGAAACGGGGAGGCTCTTGGACTCTATCGAGACGGTAAAGTAGTTGTTCAATATTGTCTACCTATCTTAAGATTATTCATAAGAAAAACCAACAAACTTGTGGCAAGTGCTAATCATTTTATAGTTGAAATGGCCTGATGAAAACCGTAAATTTTATGCTAACAGTTTCTTCTCTCGCACTTCTCCACTGTGGGCCTCTCTTCCTGCTTCTTGCTTTCCAGTCAATAAATTTAATAAATTCAAGGGAGATATTCGAACGACGTGCATTCTTCATCTAAATTTTCTATTTACATTTTTTTTTACAGTGAGGTCCACCCTTAATAAGGCCCGAGAGTCACTCGAACTTGAGAGTTACAGAGTAAGAAGAACAGCTTATGCGGCTACGTGGGGAAGATAACATTTAACTCTAGACTTGAACAGGTTAAGATTGTAGTGATCAGGAAAACAACCTCTTGAGAGTCGCTTACACAGAGCATTGGTTCGCGGGAAGAACCTGCTCAAGTGAATCTTACTTCTCACCAATGGAATACGGAAGGTGGTTCATTCCAATGTGCGTATCATGGCGATTCCTCGCCATGAAGGTTAGAACTTGTGAAACTAAGAAAAGTAGTTCTTCTGAGAATTTTCTATGGAAGCAACGATAGAACAATGAGAGGTTTACGACATTTCACCCGTGAGAGAAGGGTTCCAAGGTCCTAAATAATTTGTCACCCACAAGAACTCGGAGAAGCTTTCGAACTCCATCGAGGTTGGAAAGTGAGGACTTGGCAGCTCCTGACCAAATATGACAGCAGTATTCTATTTTAGGCCTGATTTGGCTCCTGTAAAAGTAGAGGATATCACGAAGAGTCAGGTATTTACTGAAGCGGTAGAGGGAAATTAAAAAATAGGAAAAGGAATTTGATATCTTCCATACATAAAGTGAAGAAAATCTATTCTGACCAGTACGGAATATTTCAGCGTTACCACAACGTTAGGGACGAGCGTTCAGTGTAGGGTCAGGGAAATAATTGATGGCAACCTTACAATAAACCGTCTCCCCCAATTTCACTTACAAGGCTTGGGTCAACCTTTGGTATTGTTTTCAGGCACTTTCCAAAGGTCCCGCACGCTGGGATCGTCCCCCCTCCAGTCCGATGACATCAGGAAGTCTCCTTTCTGACAAATCGACCAGGGTGAGATTCGAACCCGGGTTTCATTGTCAGAATGCGAACGTTCTAACCTCTCGGCCACGCGCCAGTTGATAGCTGTGCTAGCACGAAGTCACAAGTCATCGTGACCGAGAGATTCAACGTGCTGGCTTTATTCAAATTGTTGATCACGTTAGACAACCCTCTTTTACAGAAACTGTATCTAAGGTCTGCTCAGCATAGTTGCAGTACAAACCACAGGTGGGATCTGTAGGTGTTGAATAAACACAAATGCTCCTGAGCAAGAGCCTACAACAGGATTGGTTAGCCGCCCTAGTAGACAGATATCCTCGAATATGAGTGGCAAGCTATAAATATATCTATATATATAAATTCTAGGAAGATATTGGAACGACGTGCATTCTTCATCTAAATTTCCAATTCTCAATTTTTTTTTCACAGTGAGGTCCACCCTTTATAAGGCCCGGAAGCCACTCGAAGCTACACACTTCACAGCGTTACCACAAGGTTAGGGATGAACGTTCAATGCAGGTTCAAGAAAATAATTGATTGCAACCTTACAGTAAACTTCGCCAAAAATTCACATATGCCCCAACTAAAACAACGCAAAGTTGAAATAACGTTTCTTGTTTGCTGGGATATCTACTGTAACCATTTAGCAGCCTATATATATATATATATATACGACAGTCCGTTTCCATAATAATTTTTTTTTATTAAGTGTTTACTCAATACAAGAGCCACTCAAGCTAGAGGGTTACTGATTAAGGTTGATGCACGTAAGCGAAGTTCATGAGGAAAGTTAACGGTTAACCTAGACTTGCAGAGTTTAAGAATATACTGAACAGGGAAGCATTCTCTCTGGAATCTATTCCATATAGTAGCGGTTCTTGAAAAGAAGCTGTCCGTGTGGAACTTCCTCCTTATTAATGGAAGACGAAGGGAATTATGACGGTTCCACCCCGTGTACGTGGCATGGTGGGTCTCAGGTGTGAAGGTCTGAACTGATGGAAGCAAGGAATGTAGCTCGTCTGAACATTTGCCATGGAAATAGCGGTAGATTAGCTAGAGTCTTGTAATGTTTCGTTTGTGGGAAATAAGTTGTAGGGTTGAAAATAGTTCATCACCCACAAGGCCGAGTAGACGATTCTGAACGCTTGATCAAGCCTGGGGCGTGATGACTGCGCAGCCCCACGCTAAATATGGCAATAGTATTTCATCCCCCCACCATTTTTTTGTCTGATTTGAATAGTGAATGTTTGCCATCGTCGTGAATCCTGTTCTATAGCACAAGAATAAATAGGCGCTACGTTTTTGCTGGATAAAACTTATAAAAATAATTTGTATAAAAACTTTTTAAAAATTAAAACAAAATAGCTGACAAAGCTAAAATAGAAATGAATGTCTGCAGTAACATCCTCCCAAAAAATTATCTAATTTAATAATAAAAATAATATTCACAACAACGACAATAACTGAATGATGGCGACAAAGATGGCCGCCAAATTCAATACGAATGAATAATTAATAAGAAAGACGAACTGGCGAAGCGATGGGAAGAGTTGGGGAGAAAAGGGAAAGAGGCGTTGAGAATGAAATCGAGGAATGAAGAGAATGAAGAGAATGAAGGAATGAAGAGAAATGAAGAGAATAAAGGAATCGAGGAATGAAGAGAATGAAGAGAATGAAGGAATGAAGAGAAATGAAGAGAATAAAGGAATCGAGGAATGAAGAGAATGTAGAGAATAAAGGAATCGAGGAATGAAGAGAATGAAGAGAATAAAGGAATCGAGGAATGAAGAGAATGAAGAGAATTAAGGAATCGAGGAATGAAGAGAGCGGAAGAAAACGCTGGAAGATCAGAAGGGAAAATGAAGAATGTTCTAGAAGAAAAAGAATAACAAAATGGTTTGTTTTTTTATATAGATTGGACCAAATATTCAATGTATAAAAATGTTTTTACTCAAACGGGTGTAGTTGTGTTGGAAAGAAAGAAAGAAAGAAAGAAAGAAAGAAAGAAAGAAAGAAAGAAAGAAAGAATAAAATTAATAGAAAGAAAAACAAAATGAAGAAAAGAAAGGAATAAAGAGAGAAAGAAAGAAAGAAAGAAAGAAAGAAAAGGAGGAGAAAGAACAATAAAGAAAGGAACCGAAATGATACGCAAAGAAAGAAAGAAAAACAGAAAAAGAAAAATAAGGAAATGATTTTTAAAAAAAATGAATGAAAGAATAAAAAGATAAGAAAAGAAAAAGAGAAGAAAAACAACGAAAAAGAAGAAAAAGGAGAAGAAAAAGGAAGAGAAAGCAAACCAACAGAAGAAAAATAAAAATAATCAAAAGCAAAAAATGGAAAAAGAATGCTTCTAGAAAATTAAAGAAATAACAAAGAATAAGAACGAATGAGAAAGTAAAAGAAAAAACGAAAAAGAAATAAAGCGAACGAAAAAGGCTAGAAAAAAACAGGGAAAAAAATAAAAAAAGAAAAATATAAGAAGGTGTTAAAAAGAAAGAAAGAAAGAAAGAAAGAAAGAAAGAAAGAAAGAAAGAAAAAGAAAGAAAGAAAGAAAGAAAGAAAGAAAGAAAGAAAGAAAGAAAGAAAGAAAGAAAGAACATGAGAAATGGAAGGTGAAGGTGTTAGTAAAATAAAGAGAGTTGGAGAATAGAAAGAAAGAAAGAAAGAAAGAAAGAAAGAAAGAAAGCAAGAACATGAGAAATGGAAGGTGAAGGTGTTAGTAAAATAAAGAGAGTTGGAGAATAGAAAGAAATAAAGAAAGAAAGAAAGAAAGAAAGAAAGAAAGAAAGAAAGAAAGAAAGAAAAGAAAGAACATGAGAAATGGAAGGTGAAGGTGTTAGTAAAATAAAGAGAGTTGGAGAATAGAAAGAAAGAAAGAAAGAAAGAAAGAAAGAAAGAAAGAAAGAAAGAAAGAAAGAAAGAAAGAAAGAACATGAGAAATGGAAGGTGAAGGTGTTAGTAAAATAAAGAGAGTTGGAGAATAAAAAGAAAGAAAGAAAGAAAGAAAGAAAGAACTGTTAAAGAAACAAAAAAACGAAAAACCTGTTAAGAACGTTAGGGCTAATCAATAAAATCCGGAAAATCTTGGAAAGTCGAGAGAAAAATAGGGCGAGATAAAAAGTGAAAAAAAACCTTGAATAAAAACAACGTTAAGAATGTGAACTTCAAAAAAAAAAAAAAAAAAAAAAAAGAAAAGCAAATAAACTAAAAGAAATAAAGAAAAAGAAAAAAGACCGAAATGGAAGACGCTCAGTAAAGAACGCAACAAGTTGAAACGAACAAAACTCCTCATGAATATTAATAAGAATAAATAATCAGTAAGAAATCGACATACCGATCGTTTGTGCCATTTCCCGTCCACTTTTCCCAGGCAGAAGCCATTGATGTTTCAGCAAAAGAAACTGGAGACGTTTTTTGAGAATCTACTCCTGTTTTGAGTCGGCATGATTGGTCAGATTCGGGATGTGTCGAGGAAGGAGTCCGAACTGACCACTCCTCGACTGGCTTTTGTCTCATAGAGACTTTGAGGCGTCTACTCTCGCTCAAACAACAGAAACATCAACACATATGGGAAGTAATTTATTTACAATTACCTATATTTGTGCCCGGGACGCCCAATAGATAGATTAAGTGAAACAAACTTTCTAAAGACAGATACATGCATAGATATAGTCACACACACACACGCACACACACACACACATATATATATATATATATATATATATATATATATATATATATATATATGTATGCAGAAATATATATATATTGATGCATGTTTCATTAAATAATATAGACAAGTTTTGTCTATTTATTTTAAGTAGTTCCTTTCATATCGTCTGATAAGCTTAATAACATTATCATGGAAAGACAAAAGGAAATCACCATATTGATACATGTTTTAATCCTATCTAAGCTTTCGGCTTACATAAGCCATTATCAAAGATGACAATTACATTTCAATATATCAAACAATACACGGATAAAACAATAACAATAGTCTGTTTTTGTTGCATGAAAAATTTCAAAGCAACTCAAACTCGTGTATACGAGACGCGGAAGCGAAAATCGCATCGCAGCTCGGGATGTCACACAAGACCACGCAAGAGTGAAAAGGAGAAGTATTAAGTAGTATACACTATAGGTAGTAAGTACCTATAAAGTCAACCGTCTACGAGAGACTTGGGGAAGAGTGAGAGCGAGAAGACACAAGCACGTCCGACCTTTCAATTAGTGGCACTCACAACTAGATTGACCTGTGTGTATAACTCTACCGTATTTCATATTGTACTTGATGTGTACAATGAACCTTTCTTCTAGTATCCGCCTGGTGTTAAGTATTTATTCCCTTAGCACGGAATATAACAGACCTCTAGACATGATAGCAACAGCACTAGACCATATGTAGCAGGAATATTCTAAGCATAGCCGAATGGAAAACTTATACATATGTAAGATAGATTTTGGAGAGAAGAATTGTCTAGCACAACACAGTGAACCAACTTCCTTAGCAACTGACCTAGCAACGGATTCAATATAATCTTTCCGCTTCATGTCCGCTGAGAACATTAGCCCGAGAAGGAGCAAGGAGTCAGTCTCCTGGAGGTTAGCATCAGGGGTCTCTCCGGTATAAAAGTTTAGTTTTGGAGGCGTTAAAGTTAACAAGCCATCTCTTGCCCCAGTTAACAACAGACTGAAGGTTGTTTTTGACATCAATCGTCGATTTAACCATATTGAATTGATCAGACTTAGTATCGAGACAGAAGTAAATGGTTGTGCCACCGGCATAGATACCAAGTTGAGAGCTGATGTCAATTCGGAGGTTATTGATGAAAATTAAAAACAAAGTAGGACCAAGGATAGAACCCTTTGACCTGCATTAGTACAGAAGGATCAAGATGAGTGGCCGTTCAGGATGATTTTCATTTCACCGTTTGATAAGAAAGCCTGGAATAGTTCAAAAATTTGACCAGAGAAACCATAACTTTTAAACTTGTGAAGAAGACCCGTATGTCAAATCCTGTCAAAAGCTTTCGAGATATCTAAAGAAACAGTCCGAGCTTCACCATTCTTATCTAGAGCATGACAGACACTTTCAGCAATTACCTTCCGTACATCAGAGAAACTAAAGCCATATTCCTTGTCTGAAAGAAAGCCTTGCGATGTGAGATGCTTAACCAATTCAGCATTGATTAGGGTTTCTAGTAGTTTGCTAAAAAGATCTGGAAGTCTAATAGGCTGGTAATTGGAATGGTCTGACGGTGCACCTAAGTTCTCAAGAATTGGAAGAACGGATGAGATTCTACAGTTTAGATCGCTACCATTACGGATGCACTTGAACAAAAATAACAAATTATGAACTTTGGACAGTTTATGCATAAATTTGAGCATAATACTCAACATCAGAGATAGAGCTAACATATTTCGTTGGATTGATGTGAGTTTGTGACCCTGGGTTTCAACGCTTTAGCGTTCGTCAGACAAACACGCAATCTACATAAACCCAAATTTTTTAAAACATTAATCAGTTTGTCTGACGATCGCTAAAGCGTGAAACCCAGGGTCACAAACTCACATCACTCATCCTCATACTTACACTTTCTCTAAATTCTGTTTTGATTTCCGGAGTTGTTTTTTTCTGTTTTCATTTTGAATTTGTAGGTCTGATGATTTGGATCGTATTTACGATTCCAATGGAATAAATTATGACCATGGAATATTAGTGTTTAAGCCTTTTTATTATATCCTTACTCTGTCCTAGACATTGAGTTCTACCTGGATCCTTCCTCTTGGAAAATTTTTTCTGAAAATATACATGTATGGGAATTTTTTAGATATATTTTTCATATGTATGTATATTTTCCACTAATATTATCTATATATATATATATATATATATCGAGGAATCTAAATGGAATAATAATAGTAAAAAAATGAAAGAATATTAATCTACAACCCAGTGTGTCTAATGATTTTAATTTTTTATTTTCTTATTGTTCAATATATATATATATAGGCAGCAATCCTTCCTTTATGTATGTTTCATTAAAAACGACAGACAAGGTACTACGGTTAAGCTTTTTATTTAATTTTTCTTGTGTTTTAAGAAGAGCTTTCTTTTGTGGACAAAGGGTGAGTAAGGACTGTCCGAATGTTTTATATTTCCGAGCGCTTTCGGCTATACCTTTAGCCATTATCAAGGATGATTCGATTTTTCAGCTAAATTGAGTGTGTGCGTTCTGTGTATGTCTTAGTGTGTGGTAGGGATATTTTTTTTAATTTCCGAATACGGTTAGCACATTGTGGCCTTGTTTGTAGTTAATATTATTAAGAGTTGGCTTTTTCTTTTTCATTATTAAAGCTTCCATTATTTTTAGTCTTTTTTTGCAGGTGGATGCAGTTAATATATTTGTGTTTTCTACTAGTATGTTCCTAATGGAGTCGGGTAAATTTGTATGTGTGTGTTTAATAGGTGTAACGTAAGACTTCTGGATAAGAATGTGGTTGCGTAACCGATGTAATTATTTATGAGTTCGGTGTGATCAGGAACACGGTTCCTTCAGGGGCATTTGAACTCATAGATAATGTTCGTTATGAGTTCAATTGCCTAAATAAAAGGCTTAACCGTAGTACCTTGTCTGTCGTTTTTAATGAAACATGCATATATATAGGAAATCCTGAGAGCTCAATGTAAATTCAGAGCTAATAATTTAAAGAAAAACAGACCACTTTAAGGTTCCATTATAACAATTTATTTCACCAGAGCCCTTTTAAAGGACGCTGGATTATAGATAACACTTCCAAAAATGAAATGAAAGATGAAATGAAAATTTACACTTTTGACGGGTAGTATCAAGTTTATGTAATTTAACAGAGAGGGTAGGGAGGGGTGGTTGAGTTTAGAGAGGGTTTATTTTAATATTTCTTTCAATCATACTTAGTATTGGGGGAGGAGGGACCAGACCTTAACGGAAGTGATATATTGAAATGGGAGGAAAGAAGAGAGAAAAAGAAAAAGAAAAGGAAAAAAGAAAGAAGGGGGAAGTAAAGAGAAAGAAGCTGTAATTAGGTTTTACGTAGGAAGGAGAGGGGTGGTATATTTTTTGCAATTTATGTAAAAAAATAGATTTTAATGTTTGATAGTAATTTAAATGTTCAAAAAAAAACGAAGAAATTAATTTGATGCTTGTTAGCAGTTTAAATATTTAACTCTTTTACAAATAACTTAGGGATTTAATATAAGTTAAATACTGTATTTATTAACACATTCATAGAAAACACATTAAAAGAAATTTTTTAAATATAACAGTTTACTGATAGTAATCTTTTAATATTGTAAATGACTGTTAAGGTAACATCTTTATCTGTTTGAATCTAATTCATGAATGTAATTTGTAACTATTTTTAGATGGGTAATCTTCCTTACTTAAAGTTTAGGTTTCAAATTCAAAGTAATATTTGAAGGTAATAATAAAGATTTTTTTTTCTTTATATATATCCCACATATACGCTTATGTAAATTTTACATATACATACGTTCATTTACATGTGCAATACACATAGGTACATATACATGTATCGAAATACACAGGTACCT